CGGCGTCCGTGGTGTGCTCGGCGGCACTCCACAGTTTTTCCGCTACGACGGCGGCCCGCGGCCACGTGCGGGAGATCACGTTGGTGCGGTCCACGTACTCACCCCACATGCACGCCTCACCGCCCAGGACCAGCTGCTGCTGCGCCGCCGTGCCTGCGAAGGAGGAGGCGTGAGAAAGGGCCATGCGCGACGCGCTCCGTTTGCAAACTTTGCTCGTGCAAATACTCTCACAACTTGTATTCTGAGGCAGTTAACTCTGGTAAATACCCACGTATCCACACTCGCCCACACCGGTCGCTACGCTCACCAAAATCAAAACAAAAACGCACTACGGTAGAAACTACCTTGCCCCCCCCCTCGCCGTCACTCACCGTTGAATTCCTGGGGGTCGCACTCGTAGTACTTGTGCCAGTCGATGCCATAGCTGATGTAGTTCAGGTACCAGCACGACGAGAGCACCGTCTGATAGCCAGCGCTGGTCACCTGATGGAGATGGAGAGAGGATAAACATATATGCAAAATATAGGTAGCAAAGAGGAAGGAGGCAGAGAGAAAGAGAAAGAGAAAGAGAAAGAGAAAGAGAAGGAGAAGGAGAAAGAGAGAGAGAGAGAATGGAAATTAACAACGAAGTTCGATTAATTGCACTAACTGAATTGCTCCAGTTACCTTATCAATTTCCTGCTTCCACAATGTTGGAGCATCCTTCCACACATGTACAACGGTGTCCTTGGCCACCTCTACCCCGTTGTCAAATACTTCCTGCCATACCAGATATCTGTGTGTATCAGTAGAGGTCTTTGGTTAATAGATGAAAATATATTGTAGTGGCATATGTTTGGAGAGATCTATCTTTGGAGAGATCTATCTATTATAAGTATAAAACAACGTACTCGTACTATTTAAATAGTTTTTATGCATATTCGTTGAAATATTTAACCATGAACGGATGTGTACATTTTCATTGTAGATAAACTGTATATATCCTTATTATAATGTTTCATGATACACGAGTCATATAATCGTCTTTCCTTACGTAGAACACATGATGTTACACACACACTCACCCGTTCTTTGTAGGAAGATTAGCGACGATATCTAAAAGTTTAGTTATGTAAATTTCCTCTAGCTTGCTGTAGTTTCCTGTGATGTTGTGTTCGGCCATGAACTGACTGATGACGGGGTTGCTCTCCCTGTTTAAGGACGAGTTAGACTGATTATACTAGTTTAGGGGAAATATTACAAATTACAACAGTGACGTGTATTCCCACAAAAATACTTTAATTCAAAGATAAAACAATGTGTATAAGACCAATTCGATGAAACATTAAATTAAAACTTTTCTCAGCGCAATTATGGGACCAACAGGAGAAAGCCAAACCACTCTTCACAACTCAATAAGAAATTTTCCTTCACTCAGTGGAGCTCAAGACATTCAGCAGGAGAAAAACTCACTTCTATACCCATGACGAAAAAGTTTTCAGTTGCACGAAGATTACGAATGCATCCCCGGTTGGACGAAAGTACCCTCCCTGACTGGAGCCGCAAAGACGCATCAGAAAAAAAGGGATAATCTAAGTGCTCGTGCAAATAACCACTCCCCACCCGAAACTGTAGATCTTAGAATGTCTCCCTGCTAAAGTCCTGAAATATGCACCGGCAGACAAAAAGAAACAAAAAAACTTCTCACTACATGTGAGAATTTCCACTTATTAAACCCAAAATGCTCACCAGCAGGAGAAAATCTGATTGCTTTCAGCTACATTAGGTAGCCTCCAATAGCTCCCAAGGAAGCTAGGAAGCTATTAACAACACTTCCACATGAGAAAACCAACTAAAAATGGGAGCCTTCAACCATGTACCATATGGAAAAAAGTCTACTCATCTCATCCTCAAAAGGAAGTTACACTAATCCCCACATGAAAAAAACACTTCTCACAACAGAGCGTCTCCTAAATGGAACCTACAGAAGAAATACTTGCTTTTCAAACCTTCACTAGATCCCAGAAACCAACACTAAACCACGCACCAGCAGAAGAAACCTCACCTCTCCACACCAATGACAAACACTAGTTAGAACTACAAACCTTCATTTATCCAATTCGCAACAATCTACCCATCGTCCGCATTAGGAAGTCTCACCAATCCCACCATCAAAAACAACAGCAGGAGAAACCTCAAGCCCTCTTTACCCATGCAAGAAACCCTATTTGAAAGTGGAAAAACTAAGAGACTCACTAGCAGAAATAACCTCACCATCTCTCCCTACTTAGAAAAGAAGCTCTAAGACACCCACCAGCAGGAGAAGCTGACCTCGTCGCCGCCCAGGTGAACGTAGTGGTCCGGGAAGCGGTGCGTGACCTCGGTGAAGAAGCTCTGCAAGAACTTGTAGTTGGCGTCGTTCGTGGGGTCAATCGGGCCGAAGGTGCCGTCGGGTGTAGAGTTCCTGGGCACCGATTTACACATATGAACATTAAAAAAGGAAAACAAACATACACGTAAACGGTTTTTCTCTTACTCTGGCATAACAAAACATAAAGAAGGGGGCAAGTGAATTTCCTTTCTCGGCAGTTACTAAGACTGGCATATCCATGATTTCTGACAGCAAAATGCAATTTCACATAAGAAAATAGAAATAAGATTAAAACTTATTAAAAAGCCCAAAACACTTCTGAATAGACTTTAGGCCATATATGATAGACAAAATCAACCTACCATCTATCTATTTTCTAACCTAGAATACATGTTAGTTACATATTAAGAGAGATGATCAGACAAATGATCAAACTTCAAAACAGACAGAAACTAACGTGTAGCATTTCGTGAGCAGCCCCGGTTGTCCAGGTCCCCATGATTTCGTGTGACCTGTGGGTCAACAATTGACAAAGTAATACAAGGATGAACATCATGGTTTATTTAGTGATTACAATGTTTATCATGTAATAAGTTTTAAGTCAAGAGATTTATGATTACATCATGTTCCTACTTAAAGCTTAAAACGCCTTAATAGTTGCATCAGTTTCCATTCATCACCTATCATAAACAAACATGAATAATCATATAAACATGTGTGCAAACGACAGCGTTTGAGTTGCGACAAGATAGATCAATGTTTGGACAGAAAGCCATGTTTAAAGCCATACTTGAATACTCCACTTCGACAACACACGACGTAGTTGGTTATGAACAGTTGGATATCAGGCGCCGGCCCCAGGAACTAGACTGAGTTTATCTGATCACCCATCCATCATAATAGGCCCTTCATTATATCCTTAAGGTGATTTAGTGAAATCGACTCTGCACCAAAAGGTCAGAAGTATCAGAAGGAATCAAAAAGGCTTCAGGATGCATGTCAGAAATGTCTAACATGAGTAGAAAGTCTTGATGAGCAGCGTTGAGGCCCAGCCACTGCAGAACCACCTAGAGAATGGAACGACCGGGTGCTTTTCTAAACAAAGTTAACAAGAAAAAAGTACTAAACTAAAAAATCTTTGCACCCACCTGGAGTGTCGAACTCGGGCAGGACACGGATGCCCCTTAACCTGGCGTACTCCACTACGTCCGCCACGTCCGCTGCACTGTACACGTGGCTGCTGCTGTACGACCCGAGCTTGCTGTCCACGTGGAGAGGAGGGGGGGGGGGGAAGTCAGTAATTTACAGTTATGTTATCCAGATAACTAACTATGAGAGAAAATGTTAGCATTCTGTGGCATAACGTTTCTCGTCAGCAAGATATGTAATGTCCAGATACCTACAAGGAACTGAAATTGAGGCGCACGAGATTGAGAAGTAGACTATCCTTCTCCTGTTTCATGTTTCTGCGGTTAGCAATTTTACAAACTCTACTCATATGCATCATATGTCATGCGTGATAAATAAGGCACGAGTATCTATATGTTTACTATTGGCAATTCTCGAGGCGCAGCATAAATAGCTGTGCTAAGTTTAGTCCTTCAGAAAATATTTAATAAAAACTAAGAAATGATCAAAGACTTTGGAAACATTGCTAATGCATATGAAGGCCATGCTTATTCACTCCATTTACTAACAACCTTAAAAAATACAAATAAGTACTAATTCAGATATAAAGATTTAACGATTTTCCGCCAGCCTTCAAAGATCTCAGTAACGAAACTGACCTGAGATTAGGGAAGGCGGCACTCTCGTACGGGAAGCTCTGGTCGTCCACGAGGTGCCAGTGGAACACGTTGAACTTGTTCATCGCCATCAGGTCAAGGTTTTCCTTGAGCTTACTTACTGGCAGGAAGTGGCGCGCCGTGTCCAACATCAGACCTCTGGGGAAAAGATGAGTCCATTTGTATTTCGGGAATCAATTAATTTACAGAAAGAAATTGATGAGATGAAATACTTTATCCAGGTACGTGGTTTTATCATATGTATGCCTAAGATTTGTTCTATTTTACATCTGATTGTACTTTCAGCATCAGATCTCTGTGGGAAAAGGGAGAGCCTTTGGCATTTCCTTAAAGGTCAAGAACGAAATCACAATAAGGATAAATACAAACTATGTCATTTCATATTTATGTCTATAAAGAAGTCAATGCTTTACGATTTCCTAGTCAATAGGAGCTAAAAGGAAAAGTGTGAATCGATAATTCAACATCGTCCTCTTATATATACACTACTCCAATATTTTTTATCTTTGTTTAACGAGCGACTTCCAGGGAAAAGAAAATGCCTTAGTCTTTCCTGCTTGGAGAAATGACATAAATTAACAATGTCGAAATGTCATCTGAAAGCTATTAGCATTTTAATGTTGCGAACTCATAACTCCTCAGAAAGTAAGGCTGAGGTAACAGCCTTATATATCTTCAGCATCATAACTTATTTACGTTATCAATATTGTACATTTCATTAGGCCTATTCCACAACTCTAAAACAATAACAGACAAACTTGACAATTGATAAAAGACATCAAGCTTAATTACCACAACCAAAGTCATTATCACCACAGAAAACCACATAGCAAGGCGAAGTAGAACCGTGACTACTTGTTACCTGAAGGAAAACCTCGGGAAGTCCATGATCTGTGTCGAGTTGAGGACGTAGGCGGATCCACTCGGAAGGAGAAGCTGTGAGAAGGACTCTAGGCCTCGCAGGATCCCCCACACACTCTGCGAGACGATCGTGCCTTCGTAAGGGGCGTCGGGACTATCGATCTGCGAATCAGGAGCTCTTGGTTATGTGTGGTTATCCCGCGGTGAAAGGCGTCGGCGAATGAGGCAAGTTGAATAAACAGGGAGATGAATTATTCATGTAGAATTTATTAGGATATTAAAGATGGTCAAAACCTGTGGTAATCATATAATGTGGATAGCACTGCTGCATGAGATCACTTGAATAAAGATGGGTATTAGGCGAGTTCTGCGAGAGAAACAACAACTAAAAACCATGATGATAGGTATTATCATGTTATTATCATAACATGATAATACCTATGCTAACAAAACTGATAAAAGTCGTCGTAAACTTCTAATGATGATTATATCACGATGTACCTTTATCTCGTAGTGTTCATCCATGTTCCTGTGGGGGAGTTCTTCACATTGTGCAATAAGATTGACTTTAACGTTGTCCAAATATCCGCGAAACTGGCCATCTTTCTTCCAGGGCTGCTTTATATATATATATATATATAGATATATATATATATAGATATATATATATATAGATATATATATATATAGATATATATATATATAGATATATATATATATATATAGATATATATATATATAGATATATATATATATAATATATATATATATAGATATATATATATATATAGATATATATATATATATATATAGATATATATATATATATAGATATATATATATATATTATATATATATATATATATAGATATATATATATATAGATATATATATATATATATAATATATATATATATAGATATATATATATATAGATATATATATATATAGATATATATATATATATATATATAGATATATATATATATATATAATATATATATATATAGATATATATATATATAGATATATATATATATATATAGATATATATATATATAGATATATATATATATATATATAGATATATATATATATATAGATATATATATATATATAGATATATATATATATAGATATATATATATATATAGATATATATATATATATAGATATATATATATATAGATATATATATATATATAGATATATATATATATAGATATATATATATATATAGATATATATATATATATAGATATATATATATATATAGATATATATATATATAGATATATATATATATAGATATATATATATATATAGATATATATATATATAGATATATATATATATAGATATATATATATATAGATATATATATATATATATAGATATATATATATATAGATATATATATATATAGATATATATATATATAGATATATATATATATAGATATATATATATATAATATATATATATATAGATATATATATATATATTATATATATATATATATAGATATATATATATATATATATAATATATATATATATAGATATATATATATATATAGATATATATATATATAGATATATATATATATATATATAGATATATATATATATATATATAGATATATATATATATATTATATATATATATATTATATATATATATATTATATATATATATATAATATATATATATATATTATATATATATATATAGATATATATATATATAGATATATATATATATAGATATATATATATATAGATATATATATATATATAGATATATATATATATAGATATATATATATATAGATATATATATATATAGATATATATATATATAGATATATATATATATATAGATATATATATATATAATATATATATATATATAGATATATATATATATATAGATATATATATATATAGATATATATATATATATAGATATATATATATATATTATATATATATATATAGATATATATATATATAGATATATATATATATATAGATATATATATATATAGATATATATATATATATATTATATATATATATATAATATATATATATATATATATATATATATATATATATATATATATATATATATATATATATAATTTATTTATTTAATGCGTGTGTGTGTGTATGTGTGTGTGTGTGTGTGTATAAATTCATTATAAAATAAGTATTCAAACAATTAATGCTATAGGGTTTTGTAATATCCATTATGGTGTTAGAAAATTTATTTAGTACTGGAGGACTAGTAATTAATAGTTTCAATTTTATGCCTTGTGAGACAAATATTCTAGAAAAATCCGGACAGAAAAATAAAAAAGTTACATAAACTAAAAAGGTAAGTATAGCCATCGTGCACTACGACGCACGCATAGTGGAAACCCAGAATTCTTCACCTGAAAGTCTGAGGTCGGATGACCATGTAAGTGTTCGAGGTCATACTCATCTGGGGGCGTGGCCACACTTCTCCCTTCGTGGGTAACACACTTGGGAACCCGGCGATTGCACATCCTGTTGCAAACGCGAGCAGGGTCAAGCATACTGTGAAAGGAAGAACAACACGGAAGTTACAAACCATAATCTCCTACAAGAGCACAAGGAGCGGAGGGGGGGGGGGGGGTGTAGGTTATAAGAGATTTTGGATATTCTAGATTTTAGCGATGCGATGAAACACTGGAAGAATTTCTCGTTTTGCGTTTTTGATTGGCCAGTCCCTGTTACTATCCAATATACTATTATCATTCATCAAGGCCAAACAATGGCTGGTAACTGAGACATTTTTCCGATTAGATTTGTGAATACGGTTATCTTCTGTAAATCTGATAAGAGCAACAATATCTATATCACCTCCTAATGCTTTCTGGTAAAGATACGCGATGTATGATCACATATGCAGGTTTTCATGAAGGTAAATGCGAAGATACTGTGCTCTCCGAGGACGCAAATCAGTTTTCTGTGAAGGAATTAGAAAACTCCCAGGTTGCTGTAGGAAAACGCTTCATCTGGTTGCATCGACACATGTGCAATACAACACGGAATAATGCTCTTATTTGCGTCTCATGATATTTATGACTTTTTATTAATATTCCTTTTAAAGTCTTTATGGCAATGTGGATTTTATTTATTTTTATAGTAGGTTTAGTCACTAACGCAGACGATTGAATTTTCATCATTGTACGTACTGATGCGGGAACTTCCCCACCTGTTTGAACTCGGTGTAACCACAGCCTGTAATCAGCAACGCCCAATTTAGTCGCATTCGTTGATAATACACTGAATGAAGTCACGCCCTTTGTCTGTTGGCGCTTTTGCGTACGTGCTTCTTAAAACCCTCTTGTAATGTACAGTATATTGAGTCGTGATTGAAACCTTTACTCTTGTATTTTTGCTATGGGAGAAACTGTTGAATAACATAAGAGTGAAGACTGTATCATAATCATTTGATGGGTAATAATAAGGTTACCACTTACAATTACCTTTCTCACGAAAACTAAAATAAACATATTGACCTTAAATATTGGGTTGCTGGTGGTATCAGATCTGGGTATCTTGTTTGGTATCCTCTGTGACCTTTTTGGGAGGAACGGCAGCTGGCAATACCCACACAGAAAGACCCGTCAGTGCGCGTGATTCACACCGTGCAAGGGAATGTCACATCTGTGGCACTCTGGTGTAGGGACCCTGAATAAGTCTGGGGTTGTTTAGGGTTAGTGCCAGTGGAAGAGGGATATTCAATTTGTTTAGTCATTTTATTTATTTAGTTTGCTCTTGATTAATTGAATTAACCCCCAGGATAATTGTTTACATAACCTCAACGAAACGTTGGTTCTTATTCGGATTGAAAAAAAGATGCATTATTTAAGCTGAAAAAGCTATGCCATTCATCTGTGGTAGAGCGGATGCCACATAGATTAACCTTATCAAGGAGGTCGGTGCATCTTCTGTGCGTTGAATACTGATGGTCGAGTCAGAATAAATCAACTCTTTACGACAAAAGGGTTTTTATGAACCAATTACTGTCCGTTACTGATAGTAGGGGAAATTATTGTACATATGTATGCATATAGTAAAGGGAATAATACGCTTGCACAAGTTAAAAGACTAAATAAATTAGCCTTATCCGTTGGTGTTTCAAATGTGTTTTGCATCCGAATATTGCTCTTGGTTTTAAATAATACACTTGGATTTGTATTGATTCTTTCAGTGCAACATTTTCCCTCGTAAATCAGGCCGTTATGAATAAAGACACGTACAAATAAGAAAACGAGAGGTAGAGAAAAGGAGAAGAGAAGAACGAACACAAACGAGCGAATGTCATACATGACATCACGAGTCCAAAGTAATATTATCTACTCTCATACTTGTGTTCGCTTCCTACCGATATTATTGGAGAGATGATTACAAAGATATGTACCGTAAATTATCGAGAACACTCAAAACAATATAAGTAATCATAGTGATAAGATACGTGATATTATCCAGGATGTGTATGTACAAGTATACAGACAAGCAAACATATACACGATTTTACTGTTTAGTGTGTGTGTGTGTGTATGTTTGAGTATGCGTGTGTGTGTTTGAGTATGCGTGTGTGTGTTTGAGTATGCGTCTGTGTGTTTGAATGTGAGTGCGTATGTGTTTGGATATGCGTGTGTGTTTGTGTGCGCGTTTGAGTATGTGTGTGCGCGTTTGAGTATGTGTGTGTGTGTTTGAGTGTGTATGCGTGTGTGTGTTTCAGTGTTCGTGTGTGTGTTTCAGTGTGCGTGTGTATGTTTCAGTGTGCGTGAATGTGTTTCAATGTGCGTATGAGTGGGAATCAGTGTTTGCGTGTGGGCGCGCGCGTTTGTTTATAACGTTAGATTATAATGAACACAACAAAAAAGATAATAACCTAAAAGAATGATAGTGATGTCAATAATAGTAGATACTATTGTAGCAAT